CGAACTATTGGGTCACATGATGGGCCTTTATATCTGACAAAGTACTGATGTTTTATTAATCAGTTCTATATCAGATATATAGAATTGATCAAGTTCATCAGCACTTTATCGCAACCCAAAATGTCATGTGGACATTATATAACGTAAAATGCAGGTAGTGGTTTATGGCAGTATCTTTATCTAAAGGCACATTTATATATCTTAATACAAAGACACAATGTGCCAAATATTGTTTTGTCATTTTGGTCTGTTGATGTGCAACTAAAGACAGTTACAAGCTCAGAACATAAGTAGGTGAYCTAACCTTGTCCATGGTGACACAGTGTGATGCTCCTGCTTCTGTAAGTCGTTGTATTGTTCTGCWTCCAGGTGYATTGTAAGATACAGCATACCTGAAGACAGTGTCAATCATTATACATTGATAATTAGTGTTTAGTCCTTATATCGCCTTTTTTACTTTTTGGAAAAAAGTAGAGACATAATACAATCACTTTWTCCAATTAAAGTTATTATTTTTTACCAAGCACAGTCTGCTGGTAATGTGACATAGCAGGAGTAAGTTATCTGTTTGTTGATAGCAATGTGCATGATTTTCGTAATAGCGTGCCAGATTTTACCGATTACAAAACCCTACTAGTACCTATTGTACCTCAAAATTAGCAACACTTCAAGCGAATTAGATTCACTGGACATTTGMGAGGATGATTCGGAATTATATAACTTTATCCCTGGACACTTTTTTCCAAGAATTGGAAAGTAAATGGTAAGTAGTCATGATCACTTAGACTAATCCTCTATCATCCTCCTTGTTGGGAACTAAATTCTCAAATTCAATAAATTAAAGTACTATGCATTTTAAATGATGTCACTCAGGATATTTCTATTGAATCTTTCTTGATTCCCCGTAGATGCAAAGTTTTTACAAAACAYGTACAAATGCTGTTGYTRTASTGACATGGAAGGGCAGGTTCAAAGCGATAAAAGACAAGTGGATTATTGAAGAGCTTGAAAAACCTCCACAACGTATATAAAAACACTCCATCCAGCTTTCAAGAACACTTGCCTGGAGCGATGGTCATTAAGGCTATCTGCTGGAAAATACAGAAAAATCGACAAGAGCACACCATCAAACCAGATCAGAACAAAGTATGCCCACTATCAACTACCATCTCCAACATTTACACGATTACGTGATGCTTCTTTTTTCTCTTCGTTTGGAACTAATTTTTACACTGGCAATGTACAATCAACTTTAATTGAAATGTATTACACATAGTCATGGCCTCTTAATATTCCGATATTATTATATGATATTTAGCAATAAATTATGCCTTCATGCAAAGCTCGATTCTTGCATGCAGTTTATATATTTACTTTTTGGAAATTTATAGTAATACAGGTGAAGGTCAGCCACCTAAATAGCTAAGGTAGAAGAGAAGCTTGGCTAAGAAAGTACATGTAAATTGTAAAGAAAATATAACAACACTAAATAGAATTAACTACAGTAGAGTAAGCGCAAGGATTTCAAATGAAAACACAAGACTAGTTGTAATAGAAAACATCTTCAATKACAAACCATTCATTATTTGGTTTTAGAAGATAAACACGTCAAAACACAAGCAGCAGTATGACCTTGCTGTCCCTTAGTATCAAAAAACATATAAGATATACTAATATATTGTGGAACACAGGATACTGCAATGTTATTCACAAGATATCTCAGTGGTTACCCCAAGAAACTTTTGTCTAAAAAATTAGAATGAACCAAATTACCAGTGACATCTACCGGTGACATCATCGCAAGTGGCGATCAAAAAGAGAAAAGATTATTTTCCGTCTTTTTTTCCTCGAAAACATTCCCAAAACTCGGGGTGCGGCTTATCTACGAGAGCGGCTTATACATGGGTAAATACGGTACTTCAAATTATATCAAGTCATACTCACAAATGCTGTTCTAATGGCGTATCCTTTGTTCCCATAAAGAACACAATCCTTCTATTTTCATCAATCCATATCTACAGATAAATAAAAACAAMATCATTCCATGAATTAACTAAATGCAGCAAGTCACCTCTACTGCATCAAAATGTTCAAAATACTGTCAGTTATAACAGATTGACATCATTGCAAGATCATAAACCACAACAACAACAAAGTGGTGCAGCTAAACTAATACGCATAACTCAGAGTTGGTTATCCTGGTTAGACCACTCAGACACAATGACTGAGGTGAAGTTGCTTCCTTTGCTTCTGTCTCAATAAGGGCTTGAAATCATAGTCTCACATCTTTTTATGTGTGCCCTGCTCTGTAAATCTATMCATGGTCCGTTTTGCCTCTAGACTAAGTGAAGCACAAATGAAGAACAGATAGAAAAAAGTATTATTTTGATATCAAATTTATTCAAACCTGTAACAAACCTGTTTTCCATCAACCTCCCAGTCTCCCTCAGTAAGCTGTTCCTGAGTAACAAGGGGATAATAAACTGAATTTTGTCCAAGAAAGCTACGGCTTCTTCCACGTGACATCACATGTTGGCTATTGACMATTGCTAAGTACAGGTGCCKAAAACCTGATGCTTCACTTGACCAAATGAATTGGGTCCCTGAAGACGTCTGCTTTAAAAAGTAGATGGCGTCTGAAATCTTGAAAAATGAATATTCAATGATATATCAAGGAGGATCAGAGCTCTAAATACTGTTATGTATTAGGCTTGATTGGCAGTACATGAACAAGGTACTACTTACATTAACCCAAACATCTGAAGTGTCCTCTGCTATAACTCTCATCACTGGTATGTGGTTTGCTACGTTGATAAGATCCTGTTCTGATGGGACTACAGCACTGAAACAAGCTAGCGGTATCTGAACCATGGTTAAATGTTGCTGAGTACGACTCAATAGCTGCACCCACAGACTAGGGAAACAAATCATGCATTTATGTTTGAGAGAGAGTTAAATGACTCTATACATAACTATATAATTTAAGTTAACCCAGTCTTGGTAGAATCATTTAGTATTCTTCTCGAACTGACCACCCCTCCGTCTCCCACTTGCCTCAAAGAATAAAGAAAAATACATGTACTTACAACGATACCTCCCCTAATGTGCACTTCCATGAGTTAGCTCTCCCAACCCAGCCTTATCCTTTTAGTAATCCTTAATCCTCATTTAAATCAATAGGTATGGCCCATATCTATGGCCCATGTCTATTTCCCGATGGTATACTGTCAATTGCGGGAATTATGGCCAAAACCACATACTATTATCATTATTATAAATATATGAGGTGCATTTTGCATAGTACTTATGTGAGCTAGGTTACTCAAGCTTGAGTTGCTTGAACTGAGCTAAAGAGCCACTTTGTTCAAAAATCAGACATATCTTAGCAAAGCTTGAAAAAAAACTATTTCGTCCTATTTTGTATATGGATATAWACAACTTTCATAAGTGCCTACCATCGATTTTATACAATTTATAATATTATGGAGAAATTAGAGACATTCAAACACTGACGTATGGAAGAACTATTAGAAATAGGTATTCATGAAAACTTTTGAAGCCATGGACGAAATACTGACAAAGTTATGGTGGAATAAAAATACAGGGATTTGTATTTGCTAGTGACTGGGTAGCCTCGTTTTGGTGTTTTCGTACCTCTTCTAACCCTTACAACTTCAAGAGGATTTAATGTTTTTCTGTGAAACTTTCAGAGTTTATCTTTTGCATTGATATCTTCCATTTGAGTGCTTTCATTTGTCAACATTATTTAATAGAGCGATAATATGCTAATTAGTGCCGGCTATTATGAAAGTCGTGAATGGTTTGATTTTGTAGTTAAAAATTACTGTCTCATTGGCTTTTGAAAATATTTCACTTTTTGCCAAAAAATCTCTAAACATTGTCACATACTAGAACGATAACACATAAGCGATGTTTTGCATGCAAATGAGTTTGAAAGTAAAATTGCATGATAATGAGAGTGTGCACGTGCCTTTTCGCTTCATTGATCCAGTTGATTGTCAACTAGTACTGAACATTTKATTTTGTGAAAATATTGCTTACAAAATTTATTACAGAATATTGGTAATACAATGCAGTTCAGTTATCTAAGTATAATTGCTTATCTTTACACAAAAAAGGACAAATAAAACAAACTTTTCAGCTAGCCTCTGTTGAAGACGTCTTACATTGTTCGCCCAACAGAAAGTGTACGTGCTAATGTGGGTGATTTGGAAAGACAATTTGTACTCCACGTGTACAATGCAAGCATAGGTAAAGACTCATGAAATGCACTTGCTTTGAAGGCCAAAGAAGAAATTGTAGATGCTAGGCCGCTGCAGCGCATAGTTTAAATTTACCTAGAAAGTACATAGAGAGTTATGTAATAAGTCGAATGAAAAACATTGTTAAGACGGCTAGTAGTGGTAATAGGCCGATTCTGGCGATTTTTTTAAATCCGCCCACACGGCTAGCCACTCGATTTTTTTAAATCCGCCCACACGGCTAGCCACCCGATTTTTGGTTAAAAAACGCGATTTTRGGTAAAAATTACTACTACTATGGAAGTTAATAATAGAGCGTCTATTTTAATAACGGTTCGCGTATTGTGAAG